TGTGAGTGAGTGAGTGTGAGAGTGTGTGTGTGTGTGTGTGTGTGTTATTATAGTTAACTAAAACTGAAACTAAAAACTTTTGTTACTTGAAATGTTGATTGAGATATTTTTTTATTTAAAAAAACTTTATTTCAGCTAGTTGCAAAGAAAACGTTTAGTTTAAGTTGATGTACTAAAAATAAAAAATATTAAAAAAATTAATTAAATTATTGAAAACTAAAAATATATATAAAAACTATAGGCCTATAGATAAAATACAAAAACTACTAAAAATGAAAAAAATATCTGATTCAGAATATTAATAAAACTGCGATTGGTAATATATGTTATATTCAGAGAACCTGTGTAAGGTCATGTCGACGTCATGGGCTGTGTTCCAATCCCGAGTGCGGCGCCTGTGTAGACAGCGCGCGGGGTGTCACGTGTGCTGCAGGGCTCCGCCAACACTCGCTGTCAACGTAGGCGGAGCGAGAGGGATTGAGACGCGGCCAGTGCGACACACACACACACACACACACACTCTCTCTCTCTCTCACACACACACACACACTAATAAAAATTAATTAATTAATCCATCTAAATTCATTTAAATAAATAAATAATTAATAAAAAAATAAAAATCTAACTTAATGAATAAATAAATAAATATAAATCTAACTAAATGAATGAATAAATAAATAAATATAAATCTAACTAAATGAATGAATAAATAAATAAATATAAATCTAACTAAATGAATGAATAAATCAAAAAATAAAAATGTAACTAAATTAATGAATAAATAAATAAAAAAGACTAAAATAACACAAAAAAAGATTTAAATAAATAATATGTGACAATACCATATTATAATGAATAGACACAAACTCATAATAAAGTTACAAGTTACAAAATTATTTTACTGTATTTTACTGTCATGTAATGGATTAGTTATAAATTATCCATGAACTATATAACTAATACCATGTTATTTAGTCATCTATCATGTTAATTTGTTATACACGGGTCAGATAATCCCATATTATCTGGACATGTATCACTGTAATACCATAGTATTTAAATACTTTCATATAAATCATCACGTGATATGATGTGATATGATATTACTGTGTTTATTATTTAGTCATTGTGGTATTCTTTAAAGTATCTAGGGATACGTTGGTCAAATATCATGAAAATACCATAATGGTGCTGTGATGGTCTCGGGGTGCTGAGTTTCTGTTACCACAGGAGGGGTGTTTGAAAGAGTAAACAGGTTTTTCAGTCAACACTGATTAGTGTGCGAGTGTGAAGGGAGCGTTATATAACATGATGTCTATCTCCACAGCCGCTCCTCTGTAATTACCAGCCATTATTCACTCGTTACACCTCATGGTTTCACTTGATCGCTGCTGGACTGGACTTCAGATAAAGAGCGGATTAGATTAGAAACTAGTCTTGACACACAGGGCACGGCAGGCTTCAGGATCAACGTCCTGCTTCTCCTAAAACCCTCAAAAAATGTCTATATAGGCAGCATTAAAGGGGTCATATGATGCTTTTTAAAGATCATTATTTTGTGTATTTGGTGTAACAGAATATGTTGACATGCTTTAATGTTCAAAAAACACATTATTTTTCAAATACTGTACATTATTGTAGGTCCTCTATGCCCCGCCTCTCTCAAACGCTTTGGTTTCTACAAAGCCCCGCCCTCTGACAAGCGCAGTCTGCTCTGATTGGCCAGCTAACCCAGTGCATTGTGATTGGCCGAACAGACACAGTGATGAAGCTGGTATGTGTTTGCAGCACACAAGCCACGGTTAAGACAGCTGACTCCACTGTGATGTGACGCTCTCGCTCTCTCATCCAAAGAGAAAGCAAAACTTGAAATCGCATCATATGACCCCTTTAAAAATTATGTTGACTTCTAAGAGGCTTTGTTTTTTAGCCAAAGAGCAGATAAAACTTTATATTATTTATTTATATTATTTATTTCATTATTTTTTTTATTTACATGCTATTATTATATATTTATATTTTATATTATTCTGCCTTCTAAGATGCCTTCTTTTAGCCAAAGAGCTGATAAGTTATAAATATATAATTTTTTATAATTTTTCTCTTTGCCGAGAAGTGACTCCCATAATGCATTGCAGCAAGTCTGTTTTGTTTGTCATCTCAGCAGTATGTAGCTGTTAGTTCAGATCTGCCGAGTCTAGTTTTGATCAAAGGTACATGTCGTAAACATGCACACAATAATACCTGCTTTTGTCATGAAGGCCGTTGATAAATACCTGTTTGAACAAGCTATTGTGTGTGTGTGTGTGTGTGTGTGTGTG